AGCTTGAAGCTATGGCACACAACGCATTATGAATTAAACTCCATGGGGTTCGGCTGAAAGCGCCAATACAGCCCTAAGCCTCCTTGTTTCACCCATCCTCTGCTTTCTCCAACGAGCTGCTTCCGTGCTCGGCTAGTAAAAATGGTATCCCTGTGTAGGATTCAGATTAAGAACCTACAAGCCTCACTCCAGCCCCTGCCCCTTTCCCTAGCAAGTCTAACCCGATTTGTGGTCCCTTGCAAACATGGCATCCCAGTATATCCGAGAAACTAGCCCTGTGCGAAACAACGGCCCTAAAGCTCCGAAAGTCCAAAACCTGCTCAGGCATGCAGACATTAAGCCGAAAGTCAAGCCTGTCCCCACAAACCCCTTTTGTTTGAGCAGGAACTGCAATACACTAGGCCCTGAATCCCTTCAGCCCCAAAAACCCTAAACCCACCGCGAAACCCGAAACCCTAAACTGAGAGGCGGACCCATAGCTGGGGCCATCAGGACTGAGAGGGGCCTCCACACCTGGGCTTCTCGCGGAACATGATAGGGGCCTTAAGAATCAGAACATGCAGGGCTCGAGGACGTATTCTGGTATAATGCACATGTTCTATACATATATACACCTATTTAATACTATATACATACGTATGCATATAAATATAAATATAAATAAACAAATAAATGAATAAATATATATATATATACACATGCATGCATGCATGCATGCATGCATGCATGCATGCATGCATGCAGAGTTTGGGTGTTCCAAGTGGCAGAGGCCTTGGGGTTCCGTGCAAAACGCAAAAACCGAACCTTAGGCTTTGGGGGTTTACCGGACTCCTTACCCATAGGCTCCATTGTAGTTCCTTTTGGGGATTACCTTATAGGATCCTAAATACCTATACCGGAAACCACCGAAAGCCCTACATTGTTCAAGACCGAGATACAGAAATCACGGCAAGAAGCCCGAACAAGCTAGGTTCTCGGGGGTTTTCAGGTCTTGCAGTAGACCTATGCCCTAAACCCCCCAAAGTCCTAAAGACAGACCCCACTGCCTACGCCACACCAACCCTAGGCCCTTCAGGGGCCTTCATAATCAGACTTCGGTTCTCTTGTGTCTCTTAGCAGTCTTAGCAACAATTATGCCAAGAGGTCCGATGAAATAGTATTGATAGTTGGTTTAGGCCCCTATATATTACAGCCAGGCTTCCCAGATTCCCATGGAATTTGCTGAAAATGAAACAGCGATGGTGGCAACGTAGGGGCTTAATAGGTAGAATAGGGTTCCCTGATCAGGGTTTATGTAGGGGCATTTTAGATCGAGCAGGGTTTGGGGTACACCATAGTACGATTGTATGGCGGACTAGAAAACGATGTCATTACTAAGTATTCTGATCTCCATATTACAATTCGGACAATAATGCGGGTTACGGATTATGTTTATGGTAGTTGGGCCATGGGGATAAGGGCGCGGGCAGGGGGGTCCAGGCCATTGCGGTCTTAGGGATGCTTAGGGTATGGTTTGCAGTTGGGGCTCAGTGCTCAAGAGTGCTGTCGCCTTCGCGGCGAGGAAGCTCGCGTTTTCAGTTTGAATGCTAAAACTGCAAGGGACCTGGTAGTCCATAAGCCCCGAGCAATTTACATGACAAGGCAGGACTGGTCCGTCTGCGCTAACACGATTTCCAAAGCCGAACTGCCTCAATGAGATACTACAACTCACACCATTCCAATATCAAGCGACCCGTGTAATTACAAAGCACGGTACTGAAAGCTATTTATCCACACCAGCTTTAAGTTACAAGGGGGCATAACCCAAACTCCCTCAACAAGAATAATCAGGAAGACGCTGCTCAGATACTTTTTGTCTGCCTCTGCCTGAACGACATGTCATCCGTGGCGACAGTTCATAGATTATAGGCGATCTGCTCGGCGAGGAGATTGTTGGTTTTCAGAGCATTCTGGATGCAAACAGGATCGATAGGGGAGTGCATGTCCTCCCTCACCTGCAGAGCTTTCAAAACTAAGCGGCTGCCGCCATCCGCAGCGCTACGCTGTCTCGCATCGGGTACTGCTCTCAATCTTACTTGTTGAAAGCTTGCAGCATGCAGAGCAACACCTGCAACAGAGGCAACTTCTGGGACTTCCCTGGCCTCACACCAAGAGGAACAAAAGACTCTCATCTATCCAGGCTATCCATGTCTGCTAGGCTTCCCAATCAGCAGAGTCATTAAGGCCTTCGTTGTCCACGTGGCGTGCTGTATATACCGGACTACTAACCTGATTCCCGAAAGCCTGGTTGTGCAGGGTGCGTGGCGAAGCGAGGATGACCGTGGCCCAAAGTAGTTGCGCTGCTACATACAAACCACGAATCATGGCAAGTAGCCTTTAAATAATTAGTGAACACACATAAGGGGGCATGCGCAGACCTCGATGCAAGAACCGGCGGGCTGGTTCTGCCTTACGACGAAATGCAGCCCTTATAGGCGTGTGAAACTGCATCCGCGGTCACTCTGCTCATCTGCGCAAAGTTTCAGTGCTGAGGGCTTTCGGATTCACAGTCAGAGGCTTCCGGATCAACAGATCTTGAAGCCCAACACGTTCTGCAAAGAGAGGCACCTAGCTTGAAGACCTAAGGCGAAAACAGGGCTTCGTCTCCGATTTTGGGCTTTAAGGTGGGTTCAAGGTCTTGTATAGTTTAGAAGCTAAGGGAGACGGCAGTTACTGTATTATGCTGTATTATACTATGTTATATTTGGGTTATACTATGTTACGTTGTGTTATATTATTTTGCAGGGTTCCTAAGTACCTCTGATAGTAGAATGTAGGGTCTCTTAAAGTCTTAATCTTAATAGGAATTACCATTATGGTTTGAGCAAGTATCCCGTGTACTTACTTGGGACCCTTCGGGTCACTGACCTTCAGCCAGTTGACATCCAACCTCGGAGACGACGTGTCAAGACAAGCGCACAGCTGGGACACATGGGAAGTCGTCGTTCCTAGAGTCTCGATTGTAGGTAGTTCCTTTTCGGCGACTTTTCGGGGTTACCTTACAGGATTCCATATAAACAACAAGGTTAAACCCCCAAAAAGAAGTACGATGGAGACTCCAGGTTCTACCACTCCGATTTCTGCGCAAGTAACGGCTGGAGCCTTGCAAAGAGATAGCAATAGTGACACTGCAGCAGCCACACTCACTCTGACACACATGCGAGAAGACCGGTTCTGTTCAGTTGTTTAGAGCTGAGTAGATTTTACCACTTGGCCGACGAAAGGCGCCAAGCACCGCTTGGAGTTTATTGATGTCAATAAGCCCGACACTGCACAGGGCAATTCCTGAAGCCCACCTGCCACCGATATCGCTTCTGAGCCCCTTGCATTTAGCGACGGCGATCCCGGTCGCGATCGCCACGATCCCGGTCACGATCCCGGTCGCGATCACGGTCCCGATCCCGGTCGCGGTCTGGCAGGACAGGGTGCCAGAATGAACTTCATCGGCCCTCATATAAGTCCGCCAGACACATAAGCACCGTTAAACACCGCAAATTCTGAAACTGCCGCAGTTGCGAAATGTCCCCGATGTGTGACGCATTTGTGCTCTGATGCACTAAATACAACAGCAGCGACACTCAGCAACATCTTTCGGTGCCATCCCCTATAAACATTAACAAGTTACCATTCTGGTCCGAAGCCTTAAACTCCCTAAGCCCTAAACCCTGTGGCTTCGGCTCGCCTCCACCCCCGCCGCCGCCTCCTCCACCCGGGCCCTGGCAGCGACGTGGCTTGAAGAATTGAATGCGATAGAACTGTTCGGTAGGGTTTGGGTTTCTAAGGTTCATCATCTTCGAGAGTAACCTGGGTTTTAGGACGCTTTCGGGAAGTTCCAGGATGCGCCATTGAAGCAGTTGGGCTCTTCAGTCAACAGCTCCAGTCCCCCATGCAATCACTCCCAGAACACTCGGATCTGCAGATTCCCTCAAAACCAGCTGCGTGGAACCTGGAAACGAAGGCCACAGTACGTCATTCCATATCACTTTACACTCACTCTCTGGGGCAAAGGCAAGCTACAGTAAGACATCGATTGAATCGGGTGGTCCACGGGTTTGTTTGTGAGATGCCACAGACTTGTCATGAGCCTCAATGCTGCCTCTTGTGGCGATACATGTCTTCACCCCTGTGCATCAACAGAACTGCCCAAAGACGGAACGGGAGTCCACTCTCGAAGTGTGGCTTTGCATCACTGCCTGTTCATGCAAATCAGCTTTTTCCCAAAGGCCACCATGCTCAGGCAACGATATTGATGATCTGATGCCGTGGCACGGCTGCGAAAATGAATATGCCGACCTGGCCTGTGGGATTGCGCTCTGTTGGCAAGGGCCAGGCAGGTCTGCTTGAAGCCAAGACCCCAAAAGAATTGTGGCTAGGAGGCATCACTGCACGATGCTCTGAATGTGATCTACATTCGGGTAGAGCAGGGCAAACAAAATGGAATGGTTTGGTCGCGGCTTTCTTGCGAACTCCAACTTCAAAGGTCAAGCACCTCTGGGTAGGTCCAAGTAACCTCAAAACTGCCCTCACACATGCTATCAGTGCTCCAAATACCGAAAGCATCAAGCCCTTACCGTCTACCTAACTCCCGGATCGTGTTCGAAAAACGGCCCGAATGTTCACTCCGTTTTGCTTAGCATGTCTTCTTCAAACTTCACCTCGCTGCTTCTACTGATCTTGAGTCGTGAAGTATTGCAGGGCTCCACCTTGCACCCAGCATAAGTCCATAAGAGAAACCTTGAAAGAGCCCTTCTTGTAGCCTCATAGAATATTGACACAGGCCTTATGGGACCCTCTTATAACCCTATAAGCCCTAAGCCCTCCAAGCCCTACATTCCTCAACGCCTAACCTCTAAACCCTAAAACCCTAAACCCTAAACCCTAAAACCCTAAACCCTAAAATCCTTTAAACCCTACAAACCCTAGCCTTGGACCCCCGGGAGCTCCAGTACTAGGGCAAGTTCTCAAGAGCAGCTTTGCGGGTGGAGCTTGCAGTTCCTTGGCGAAGTGGGTTTGAGGTTTACAAGCTTTCGAGCTTGAGTCTCTTTTTTTTTGGGGGGGGGGG